TTCAAATTATGATGTGAATCTGATGTAACACTAATTTTTAAAAAATCGGCATCATTATCAAACATCACTTTAATCGATATCATAAAAAAGATGACCAATGAAATGATATCTATCAAAATTCATGGAGTGCTTTGATTGCTCAAAGCTCATTTGATACCATATTTTTCTGGTATCATAAATTTTTCCAAATTAACAGCAAGGGGAGGAAGAGGAGGGTGTATTTTGACAACTTGTAACTAATATTACACAAATAAATGCAGCATAATAATGCTTTAACTAAAAGAATATAATTACTATTTACCATGCATGATATAATAAGATACGAAGAGGGACGGATAAAAAACAAAAAACGGTGCTTTGTTAATGGGAATCGCATTCATTCTTGTTCAATCTTTTTTTAAGCCGAGCTCGATCGTTTTCTTATTATGTGGCTGGGTGGAGGTCGCCATCACGTAACCATGTCCACTTTCCTCATCCATTTCAACGCTATATTCTATAAAGTGTATATTATTATTCTTTTTCATTTATTCATGATGTCTACTCCCACGAATCACTGGGTTGCCACCTGGCCTACCGCCAATGTTGCCACCTGGATCTCCCAATATACTACTACTTACCAGCACACAGAACACTGGTGGTTGTGTCATCCACTAATAAGAAATAGGAACGCAACTTTATCCGTGGGATGAGACGACTAATGAATAACGTATATATACAATTAATGCTCACCATCAACTGTTGTTGTTATTATTCTAAGATCAATGGATTCTTTCAGACCTCCCTCAGAAAGGAAGCTATCTAGCTAGCTACGATAGAAAAACGGTTGCTTCTCATAGGTGTTCACTTATTATTATTGTTCATGGAATATTATTACGGCATTGTTCAACTTTTTCCACAACCGCAATATGAATTACCAAGGGGTGGATGGCGTTTTCAATAGAAGAGACTTTATTATTTTATTATTTCCTTCATTTAATGATAAATTAATATTAGATGTATATTGAATTAATTTGATTGGATGCATTGTTTATAATTAACTGTTGAATTTTATTTTATTATTTCGATCGATCATGTCAAACCCCGCACCACCACTTCAAAATTATTCACCCCTCACACATCTAGAATCTTCTTCCTTCCGTTGATAAATTTTTATCAAGTTAAGAATTATATTATATGTATTCAAGGGTCATTTTCTATTTGCATTGTTTATATACATTGCTTTATGCTCTAACCATAGATAAAAGATTAGTACATTAATAGCAAGGTTTTTAAAATTGGACTGAATAAAAAATCATTCTAGGAATTGGTTTCTGGGTCAAATAGTCTGATCATCCAATCCAAATGGATGATCCATTTTGACAAAAAATGGTTGTTGATTATATCAACAGCTTTCTGTCAAAAAATCATTTTGGGATGAAACAAAACTGATCAGATGACCGATTTTCGGTTTTTCTGGTTGGGCTTTGTGAATACTGATTAATAGTACTGTGTTGATGCCTGGGATTAACCGCAGCATCCATGTGTATGTACACCAATGGAATCAATTATGGAGGTACAATGGAATAGGGTGATATTAAGCCTGTTGTCTTTGATTCATGAGGAGTAACGAGTATATTTTGGCAACTAGAGTTCTCTCTTTTTTGTGTTTTGTTTTATTACTAGAGAGTAGAGGGGGGTTGGAGGGTGGAATCTTGGTGGGATAGGGGGTAAAGCCTAGCTAAGGGTATTTCAAAAGAAAGTTGGGTTCAAGTAGCTAGCCCCTCTGTTTATTATAATTTGACATACAATGGATAGACAGATAGATATAGGTACTGAATATATATATATATAGTGAATAGGATAGGATAGAATTGAGAAACAGGTCTGATATATTAATTATTTAATTTGTAGCCAACCTCGGGCAATATAGTTGGGAGTTAGGACAAGGCTTATTATTGTGACATGAGGTTGGTTTGTTTACAATGGATGCTTTGGATTAAATTTTCTGAATATACAAGAGAGAGAGAGAGAGATAAATGTGATGCATGGTTCAAATACTTTGGAATTGGAATTAATGTTTGTGTTAACAGTTTGAGTAGTCCAGTACGTACCGACGTACGTAGTGGTGATTCGCCTATACTATATATCCTATTGGCTAGCTAGAAAGAAAGAAATCACGATTTTTACAATTAATTAACAAATAATGAGAATCCAGTAGCGGAGTGGGAGAAGATCATGGTGTGGTATCTCTACGAAGGGAACTCCGATGGAAGACCAAATGACCATTTTGCTTTAGTGGTGCAAGTTGGGCGGTTTGGGTCGGGTTTATGGTTAATCCAGGTTCAGTCATAAAATTTGGATTAAAGGTCCAAGTTAGGGCTGTTTATGGATCAGGTTGGGTCAGTTTACTAAGATTTTTTTAATCGACCCGATTTGGTCGGGTTATCTGAAATTGAAACCGAAACCGACCCTGTGTTAAGCAAAACTGACCTGGTCGGTTTGAATCGGGTTGGATCGGTTTGGGTCGGTTTTACCTCTAAGTTCAACCATGCTTGAGCTAGAGTTGAGAGAATGAAAAGATGGGAGTTGGGAGAACCAAGTTCGAGTGATGTCTTGAAGTTGAGATTTGAAAACTTGAAATTTCAAATTTTTTATTCTTGAGAGTCAATTTGTATTAGAGATTGTGCTTGAGTTGAGGGGCGGGCCAAGTTAGAATAGAAGTTATCAAGAAAATAGAAAGTCAAACTGTATTAGAGAAATAAGACTGAAATTTGTATATTTCAAGAAACCTTCTAATCTAAGTAAAAAATGACAGCTAATTCTAATTGTAATTGGTTGCCTAATTGGTGTAAGAGACCATAGAAAGTAGGATCATTTGATTCTTTTCTTTAAACTTTTCCAAAAAAGTTCCTTGTCTAGTTGTCTTACAATACTTTCCATTAATGTCATTCCTAACTAGAAGGCTAGAAATTAAGTTATGTTGTAATTAGGATAGAGACAACTTAGTTAAGTAGGAACTAAATAGGTTGTAACTACTAAATAAGAACTAACTACTAAGTCGGTTCAGTTTGGGTCGGTTTTGGTTTTCTTTAAACTACTAAGTAGGTTGACCCGAACCATCGGTTTATGATTTTTTACAACCTGAACCCGACCGGTGCTAAAGAAAACCCAGCCGACTCGGGTTGGGTCGGTCCGGGTTGGTTGGTTTGGTCGGGTTGGGTCTTCTTATGAGCAGCCCTAGTCCGAGTTTAAGGTTAAGTCCGATTTTTTCAACTCGAGCCTAACTTGTGTAATTTGATGCATTCGGGTTGGGCTTAGGCCCAAGTTGGTCAATGAACCCGTTCTAAGGCTATATATATACGTATATGTATGTATTTATGCAAATATATATACATATTTTTATGTATGTATGCAACATTTATATATATACATATAGATATGTATATATATATATATATATATATATGTATAAATGTATATAATTGGGCCTAATTCAGATTACCTAAAGACTAGGCCTGAGCCCGACTTCTTGGACCCGAGACTAATCCGAGGACTGAAAATCCAAACACAACCTATAAAAAATTCTGGATTGGGCCAATTCGGACTCAGACTGAGTCAAGATTCAAAGTATCGATACGCCCCTATGTACGACAGAAGTGTATTAGTACTAAAAATCAAATGCTCAATATTTATTTTTTCAAAATTTAATTTTTAAAGATATTATTTAAGTGTTTTTTATTGAAATAAATGGGATTCCGAAACACTGGTGTATTGAGATCAAAAAAATAAAATACGGTACTTCCGATTGTATCGATAATTTGAACCTTGGGCTGAGCCTGCCCAAGTTGCACCCTGGGGCATAGACAAAAATAGAAGATGGGAAATTAACAAAGTCAAGCAGCAAGCATGATATATTAATAAAGTGTTAAGTGGCCCACAGCACCGATCCCATAGAAATCATGCATCATGATGTTACAGCAGCACACTGTACAATTAATTGAAGTGGGAGCCCCTAATTGACCTTGAATTTGATGGGGCATGCATTAATTCCAATAAGTGAAAACATCGTAGACCTGATCAAACCGGCCGGCCCCTTGAGACAATGAAGCCTTACAAATTTCAAAGTTGCATGGGCTTCGATGATTCGATCGGGCCATACCATACGTCGCGCTGCCGCAGTTCATTGCACCGTGCATTTAACCTACTACTATTATGATTAATTCTGTCGTTACCACAAAAAATCAAGGGTAAGACTGTCCAAAATGATAACTATTCAATGGAAGAGAAAAGATGTTAGAGCTGTATCAATGTGACTAGGAGAACAGCACAAACCGCCCAAACCGATAATATATTTTATTAATAAAAAACCAAAAATATCTTTTCGCCAAAGAATTGTGGCCCCTCCTTTTTATTTTTCTTTTTATAAATAGAAATGGATGGAAAGAGTCCTCAGCCACAAGTTTTAATTTACCTTTCAAGTAAAGATATCATCATCATTCATGAAAGAAGAAAAAATGGATCTTTCCTTGTAACGTTATGTAAACCTTGGGCACACGTGCGAACCTTTTTTAATACATACATACAAATACTAAAATGGGCCTAATAATGTTAAATATTACACGCGGAGGGGTGGGGGAATGAGATGAGATAATTAGAACATCATGTAATTAAGCAAAATAGATCATCCATCCGTTAGATTAATCATGGATTTAGACAACTTAATGATTTCTTTTATAAAGTTTAATTATTAAAAAAATGTGCCTAAAAATAAATTTATTGGCTTAATTGAAGGTTTAACTCTGTATTCCGTCCTTTTTTTTTTTTTTAATTTTTACACCTGCTAATAAGGCGGGGGTAATTATTCATTTATTTGCCCTTGAGGCAAATATTAATATAGTCATACCCTTTATGATAATTTTCTCTCTCCTTTTTGTATACCCTTAATTCTTTGATTGTGAACTAAACTTATCCTTGAGTGAGAGGGCATTTTCGACCACCTCCTATATACTATAAATATTGGAGATGGTTGTAAGGAGTTGCAGGGGTAAAGAGAGTTGTCATCAACAACTAGCGAAGAAAATAGTTCTCCTGCGTCTCTCTTCCTGCTCCCACTAGCTACACCTTTAGTTTCCCTGTGGGTCGGTCGGAAAGATGACAAAGGTATACCCCAACACCACCCCTTCTCCAGTGGCAGTACTGGAGAGTAGTCCAATAACAACCGGTGGTGTTTCAGACGGAAAGATGACAAAGGTTTACCCCAGCACCGGTATCAGTATCCCTTCTCCAGTGGCCAGTCCAACGGACGGAAAAGCTGCAGTGATAACCGTTTGGAAGAAATCCCTTTTGTTCAATTGCAACGGTTTCACGGTCTTTGATGCAAAGGGCAACCTCATCTTCCGTGTCGATAACTACCTCTCCGGCAATAAGGGGGAGATCGTGCTCATGGACGCCGAGGGCAAACCTCTCCTCACCATTCGTCGCAAGGTAATAATCCATGTTCATCTGGCGATGCCAATATCTGGTTTGCTTAATTAGTACTTGGTACTAGTAGGGACCTTAATTTCCTTTTGATCATTTATTTATTAAACTGACATGTTTGTTGACGGATTGGAGCAGAGGCTGTGCCTAGGGGACTGCTGGTTGGTCTACGACGGGGAGACGGCCGTTAATCCTCGGTTTTCCGTGAAGAAGAACGTGAATCCCTTGAACTCGAAATCGTTGGCTTACGTGACGGGAAGCTGCGGCGGCAAAGGTCGGAAGCACGACAAGTTGTACGAGATGGAGGGGTCGTACGCCCAACGGTGCTGCGCAGTGTATGACGACAAGAGAAGGCGCGTGGCAGAAATCAAGCGTAAAGAGACGACCGAGAAAGGTGTCGCCTTCGGCGTCGACGTATTCAGGCTCGTCGTGCAGCAGGAACTGGAGCTGACGGATGCGATGGCCTTCGTGATCCTTCTGGACCAGATGTTCGGAACTGGACGGTTCTCCGGTTTTAGCCAGCGGTGACAAAGCGTTGGTGCGGAGCCAGTCTAACCGGCTATCACAAATTAATGGGTTTCTAGCTAAATGAATCCCCCAACTCTGGAACTGGAACCGGAAGTAGCACTGTAGCAGTGCCTCCCTTCCTCCACGGCTCCACCTCTTCGCATAATCGTAGTCGTTGAGATTTTTGATATTTAACACAAGTTCTACCCTTTTTGTTTTTTTACATTTCCCACTTTTTATCTTTTTTTTTTTTTCTTGTTTTGTTTCCCGCTTTCCGTGTTGGGTTTGGTTTTTTCCTTTTTTTATAAAAAACCAAGCTGTGAAATGAAATGGGTGTACATATTTTAGGGAAAAATATAAGAATAAATGGTGATATATAATATATGTTTTCTCACTCACTGACCAGAAACTGAAAGTCAGCTACAGAAGCTTTCCTAAAAGATGATCTCCTCGTATCAACCCACAACTTACATTCACTCTTGTTTACTGTTATCCTACACTCTATGGTCCAACAGATCAGATAACGAACTATCAGTTCCTCGTCACTCTTAATGCTTGCTTGCTTTCGATACTCTCATCAGGCTCAGAGCAGTCTGAATTTTCATTTTGATAGCTAAAGCTTCCACCTCAACAGAGCAGTCCATCATGCTTCCTCGCAACAAAACCTATCCCGTTTTAAATTTGTTGTGTAAAAGGGGCGAAAAGAAAAGGTTGAAGTCGTAAGAAAGCAGAAATATAACTGAAATTTTATTTTTACAAATTTTTTTTACGCATTTTCAATAATAAAACAACAAGGAAGGATAAAAAAAAAACAGAGCCTTTACTCGAAATGTTATTATTAAGAGGTTAAGAGGTGGAAGGTAGTAAATTTAAATCAAAAGCGCTGACATTTTAGAATGCAGATTTTAATAGGCCCTTGTTTGTTATTGATGGATATGGGATTGATATACCTGGAGATGAAGATGAAATTATTCCAAACAAAAAATTTTGGTCGGTTTACAGAGTTACAGTTTCCTTGCTTTCAAAAAATCTCTAAAAGAAAATGACAATTTAAGAGGTTAAGGCATCCGCATCGACCCCCAAGTGGATTTATTTATTGAATTGTTTAAACATTAAAGAGAATGGAAACAAATTCAATGGTTGAATATACATGAGGCTTATCATCTGGGCATACTACAGTACAAATTGGAGTCATCGAAAACATTTTGAATTAATTAATTAATGAATTGTTTGAGTAGGTCAAAATGGTTTGGGGATTGGAGTTTGTGGCCTTCTCGCTAACCAAGGTACCAATCAGGGGCATTGGTATTTGGTAGTGGCGTAAGGAATTAAGATTTAGAAATTAGGAGTCCGAGTGCTATCTTGATTCTTGAGCTGCTGCATGCCCAGAAGAGTTAAATTAAATTAATTGGTTGTCCTTTTAATTTAATGGTGACTGCTGACCACACACCAGTTATCAGCCAGACATGGCCCATGCCAGCTTTGAATTTTCAATTCCAACTCACCCAAAACCTTTTTTTTTTTTTTTTGGTTTTGTTATCTAACTACGAGATTACCTTTATCGTATACAATTCTGTACAGTAATAGCGGGACACATACACTATCGAAAGATTCAAAGCACATGGTCATGGTGACAGTTGAACCACCATGGCTGGAGGCTGGAGCGTGGAGGCAGTAACCCAACTCTGCTCCCACCAAGCCCACTGGTTTTGTTCTACATGCAATAACCCAACTCTGCTCCCAAGAAACCTCAACGAAATAGTCAAATTTTCTGTGTGTGTTTATATGTTCTGGAACCTGTAGTAGGCCATGGCCAACCATCTCTTAAACTCAAGATTCTACCCACCGATAATAAATGGATGAGACAATTGTTTTTCTTTTTTTTTCCTGATTAATGAATTAGATGCAGGGGCTGAAACTTGTGGAATTTTTAATAGAACCAAGTCTGGACTCTTGAGACCAAAACTATTAACTACCAACTTGATTGGTGGTCTCAAACTAAGTTTTCATTCTATAAAAAGCTAACTTTTCATCTTATAAAAAGCTAAGTCTTCTTCTCCTAGAAAACTAAGTCCTCACTTTTTAGAAATTGAAGCTCTCGCTTTATAGTTTCCATTTTTATGAACTTAAAGACTATGCAGGGAGTTATCAGTCCTCTTCGCGAAGTCCCCTCTACAAAGATGAGCTCTTCGTGGCTTCCGCGGAAGTTGACGGCCAATAGACTACATGGGCACCCTTGCTGGTCGAGCCCTCCCGTGTGAGTTGGCGACCTAAAGTTAGTAGTGCTGCCCCCGAAGGTCAAGCTCCTAGTAGCTTCTTGTAGGAGTGGGTGACTGACATTATAAGGCTAATGCAACGCAATCATAGCTCTAAGAAGCCCACCCGACGGCCTGGCGACCTGGCTCAGGCGCGAACTAACGAACTGATAAAAGACTTCCTCATCACTTAAGACCCAGTCGCCTCTTCGGCAAGGGCAAGCTAGTCCCAATCGACTCCTTGGCATGGGCACTTAAGACCCAGTCGCCTCTTCGGCAAGGGCGAGCTAGTCCCAGTCGACTCCTTGGCATGGGCACTTAAGACCCAGTCGCATCTTCGGCATGGGTGAGCTAGTCCTAGTCGCCTCCTCGGCATGGGCACTTAAGACCCAATCGCCTCTTTGGCATGGGCGAGCTAGTCCCAGCCGCCTCCTCGGCATGGGCACTTAAGACCCAGTCGCCTCTTCAGCATGGGCGAGCTAGTCCCAGTCGCCTCCTCAGCATGGGCACTTAAGACCCAGTCGCCTCTTC